TGTTGACTAACGCAACGCTTAGTAGTCCAACCTATTTATTATTTCAAAGTGAAATAATTTATATTGACAAATCATTTTACTCTTAACATACCCATCATCAGACTCCTGATAGCTTATGGTGAAAAACTGAGACAAATCAAAGGTTTACAATATCAAATCAGCCTTAAATGATCAGACTCTTGCAACAGACATTATAGTTTGTTATGAATAACTTTAATTTTATTTACCAGAATGCTGTATTCTGAGTTTCTGTAAGAAAAGTTGTAAATATAGAAAAAGAAGACCTAAATCTGCAAGCAAAACACAAATGTTGCAGTCTGAATACTGCAACACACTAATTAATATATTTTGTGGGTAGTTTGAGCTCAATCTGAGCATATACCACAAGTCAGCAGTGATGTCATCATGATAGTGACATCATCTTCTGTTTCCTGGCAGCAGCAGCAGCCTCACCGACCCCCGAGCCAGAGTCTCCCGTCACCAGGGAAACAATTTCTGTCAAGCTGCTCACATCTGTGCGACCCAGAGGCCCGGTATCCTCGTCGCCAGCTGCCATTGGTCTAAACTCTCAGGAACAGCTGGTCAGCGATCACTGGTTTTCAGCGCTTAACCTATCAGAGGACCCGACAGTATGCACCCACATAGCAGGTACAAGATTCACATCTGCATCTTCAAATGTTCCCATTCTTCTGACCACTGTCCCTCCCATCTCTGTCTTTGTCTTGTTGCTGAGCGAGATCCTTTCTTTGAGCTCGTTAATCAATACCTATATAAATAAAGAAAATATCAGATTTCGCTTTTAGCATGGACGTTCAAGAGCATGCAGACAAAGATAGGACCCCCCCTCCGGAGTCCTGGCTGTTCATTGTATCTCCATAGTAACCCTCTCTTGGGATTTCAGGAATGATTGGCTAATTGTGGGGAAAGCATTCCTGGCATTGGCTTACTTTTTGGACACCATCACTGCTGATGTCAGAGTGTATCACTGTTTGACACACACACATGCACAGAAAGAGAGACAGGTGTGTGTGTGTGTGTGTGTGTGTGTGTGTGTGTGCAGCTTCTTCATATACAGGTTCATAGGAGTTTGTTGGCATTTTAGGAGTGAGTGAGAAACAGAGAAAGGGAGAAGGAGAGAACAAGAGATAACATCCTGTCTTCCAGCTTGATGGCATTTTAAGTGGACCGTCAGTCAGAGTAGAGCTTAGTCTTATTTTAGTAGATATGTTGGGGGGGTGGGCAGTAAACCCTCAGACCACTGATGAATGGGTGGTCAGGTTGATGACAGAGTTTAGGGTGTCCTGAATAAATAGCACACATGCATCTATTGGAGCATCATATTTCTTCTGGTTTTATTACTTGTTTTAAGGGCTGCATATCAAACCTTGATGCTTTATTTGGCAACTGAAATGTGTCTCTAGCACCGAGTATCGACACTTATTCTCTGATCAAACGGTTTCTGAATCATAGTTCATATTCTTGTAAAACTGATTGTATGTAGAAAACATTACAAAAACTTATTTTGTTAAATGAAAAAAAGTGTTTTTTAGAACAACAGGCATACAAAAACATGCCGTTTTCCCATTGGTATCAAGACTAACGTATCATATTGCCACTTAAAAAAATTAAATGTTACCAAACCCTAATTGTTGGACTACACAAGGGATTGTATGCTTTAACTTAAATACATGTGTTTCAGCAAGTGAACTAAAATCTATTTATTAGCAGTAGTAGTGGTAGAGAAAGATTTGGCTCGGAGACATACCAGAAAATAAAACCCGGTTCTCCTGTTTCAGGTGTTAGATGGCAGATGAATATGAACACAACTATATATAACTTTATCTGAGTTCAAAGGAATACCATAAATAATGCTTCAGAATCAACTTCTACTGTAAAGAAGAAGATCTAGTGATTTTTAGAATATCGTGTGATTGTGTTCATCTCTCTATGTGTGAAACTCTTGGAGTCTTGTAGAGTGGTGGGCGGTGCTGCGAACAAGATTATTTTGGGCTGTCAGGCCTTTGGACTGCTGAGCGAGCAGGGGGTTGCCAAAAACAGCTCGGAGGGGCGAGGGGAGCACAGCGGGACACAGAGAGGGACAGAGGGTGTGAGGAGAAAAACTGGAGTGGCAACCAAAATGGCCAGCAAAGGTAAGACCTTGGGTTTAAAGCTAAAAGAGGATAATTTGAGACAGTTCACCTATGCAGATGATGTTTAGGTATTTGCTTACAGTAGTGAACTGACAGTCAGCTACTGCAAAGAGCCATGTTTGATTTCAGCGAGAAGAGTAAAGCGTGAAGGGGTGGAAACCACTTATAGTCTTTAGTGGTGGACTGTTGGGGTTTGTGACTTCGGTGTAGTGGTGAATAAAGCCGGACTATCAGGGGACTGAAGGTGGGAATTGAGCGGATTTCTTGCTTCTCTTTGATCTTCTTACAAGCAGAGTGTCTGGAGATGGCAGCTTCTGTCAGCTAGAGTGTGTTTGGCTTTTAACTGATGAGCTGTTCAGATGTAGCAGGGTAGTCTCTGTATCAGTGGCCTCAATTTGAATTATCAGCCATTCAAATGAGTATTAACTGTCCTGTTGTGGCAGGCTGGGGGTCATTTACATTTTAGTATTTCCTCTTTGGGCTGGCGCGAGCAGAGACATTTCAGACTGTAGTAGCTACTATGAGATTTCCTGGACACGTGATTAAAGCTGGTGTTACTGGATTCAAATGAAATGGATGTTGATGTTAAAATGAGATGATCTCAGGCTGGTTGGCATTAAGTGTCAGTATGAGAAGTGATTTGTTTTCTTATTGATTAAGTGGCTGGTTAGTTAATTGCTTGATTTGATTCCTGATTCCCCCATGCAATCACTCCTTAAGTGCTCATTTATATAATAAGTAACTGAAACCATTAGTACACGTATCAAAATTCCCCTGGTTTGGATTGCATTATTGTGACAATGTCCTAAAGTTGAAGTATGGTGGAGAGTGGATGCAGCTGAGTAATAATTGCCTCCTGATTAGACATGATTACTACTTACTGATTACTCGTATAAAAGTATATTAATGTCAGTACAGTAGATTTGGATATGGATGGTAATAGAAAGAAAAACTATTTGAAAAGTCTGAAGTCCCAACCTAAGGGCATCTAAAGGCTGCCACGTTTATTGCACAATAACAATAAAGTGTTAGAGAATATAAAATGCATGTTTTCCCACAAGCCAGTTTATCTGTGACAGCTTGCGTTGGATTCAAATAAATAGTTTTGTGAAATACCACTCTCATGGCTGTCCATTAAATATAAAACTGGAAAGAGCCTGTTAGCTTATCATAAAGACTTTGTATGACGGTTAGAAAAAAATCCTACCTATAAGCACCAATAAAACACACTAACATGTTATCATGTTTGTTTCATTTGTACAAAAAACTGTGTAAATGGTGACAAGAAATGCCAGACACCTGGTGGAGACTCCAGAAAGTTGCTGCACACATGGTGGGCGGAGCAACATGTGGGGAAACCATGTTAAACACGATATTAATCATTTTTACATGCATAAAAATGTGTCTGGGTTGGTACTTTACAATGAAAAAAAAGAAGTAGATGTCTCATATCATACATGCCTTCTGCAGCGCAGCTGCATATTTGCAGCAAAGTGTGGATACTTCTATAGTACAGTACAGTGTCCATGCTTGCAGATATAGTAGTGTTTTCCATGTGCCCTTTGTTTAGCATAAATGTTGTGCATAGATTAGATGCTTTCAGTACTCCAGTGCTGGTTTATTTCCATTGTTCTTATTGAATTTGTTGCCTACTCTGACATGTGCTGAGTAGCCCTGTCTCAAAATGACAGCAACACAAACAAACACATTGGACAGGTGTGTTCCAGGGGCATCATGGGTATTAATTGTGTGCAGTGATGCTTATAAATAAACCACCTGCTGTCATTGCACTCTGTTCAAAGAGGCTTCCCTGTATTCTAATGCTGAGGCTTAGCCTTTCTCTGACTGACAAGCACAAAGAGCTGTGCTTGTCTGACAGTGCTGCACCATACAACATACCCTGTAATTACACAACACTACGGGCTGTGTGCAACACTGTTTAGTTTTATGGTTGTACACTTTTTCTAATGCTACATGGTCATTCATACAGGGTTTACATCGTTACGTAAAGAGAGAAATGTGGTGAATCCAAGCTAGATATTGTACTGAAGTTGTCCACTTTTGTAAAACACAGCTCTATGGACGCCTCAGTCTCCACGGCAGCTGTTGCTGGGTGACAGAGACGAACGGCAATGGGGTGTGGAAAAGGGCCTGATGACGGCCTGATGTATTTCGGCAGGTGCTGTAAAAGGCTGCATTTAAATTCTGCTCGACCGCTTGTCTCCCTCTTTCATCTGAGGGCTAAATTTAGCCCGAGCCGGAGCCTGAAGTGTCCTCGTAGCTGCTATGTTTTTTCTCATGCTGGAGGCTGGAAATCCCTCTCTGCCTCATGTCTCCGCCTTCCACTTCTCTGGCTTCTCTAGCCTCTCTGGCTTCTCCTCCCCTTCCTATCGCTGTGTCAGAACTACTGTATCTTCCTGCCACTCTTCCTCTCCCTAGTTCCCCTAAAAAAGTGAAAGACCATTTGAAAGGGCTAGTGGCTAAGTGATGTTGCTGCAGCTGCTGTGTGAAAACCAGGAAGGATGCAGTAACTCACAATGCTGTCAGCTGTGTGTAGAAAAACTCCTTGAAAATCTATAGACCGGCTTCTTTATTATTTGGCATTTTTGGGGCTGTTTTGTATAAGTTTGGTAACTGTTACAGTACCAGCAGTATGTAAATAATTCTCTAGATTGTTTCAGGACAACTGAATCGCTCTAATTTGTTCATTCATATAAATTCAGTTATTCAAATTCAAATGTCTGATTATTAGTCTATACTTTATTAACAGCCACTTGTATATTCCATCATAGGTTTTCTACTCTGTACTTTATTTCCTCACTTTCTCCCTTCACTCTTTTTGTCTTTCAGTGATGGACCTGATCTACTGGAAGGACACAGAGCGGACAGGCATGGTGCTAACAGGGTTAGTAGTTGGCCTGCTGTCCCTGTTCCAGCTCAGCATCATAACTGTGGTCTCCACAGTCTCCCTGGCTGTCATGTGCTTCACCATCTCAGTGCGCATCTACTACCAACTCCTCCACATCCTCAACTGGGGCGATGGACAACACCCCTTCAAGTAAGAGTGACAGGAGAAAGAGAAGACACAGAGGTGGATTCCCCCCATTCAGTCACAATGCATAAATGTTTTTCAAAGCAAGCGCCCAAGTTCATTCAATCGAAAGCCTTTCAAGTACACTTTATATTTTCTTTCTTTGATTACACAAACAGTATTTCCTGCCTTTTATTCACCTATTGTCTACTGTGCTTACATCCAATAAAAAATATTTAATGGCTCTAATTATGGTTATTAATTGTTGGGGTGTTTCTATCAGCATTGCCAACCGAAGTACTGTGTTAATTATTATTGAGTGATAGCCCTTCCTGTTTATGAAATGACAACTGCACTGACAAGAGTGACAGGAAGGGGTTTATATTTGGGCTTGAGGGATTGCAGCCAAAAAATACGAACCACAGTGTCATTAAACATAATAAAAACATAATTTAGTTAATAGTAAAGGGAGGATGACTGTGGGAAATATTGCAGAGAGAGTCATAAGAGTAAATGTTTTTGTTTATTGGCAATCATTTTGAGCTTCCTTTTTTGTGCGTCTCATGTCCTGTTTTTGTTTTGTCTCATTTCCTCTCAGGTCATACTTGGACCTGGACATCAGTTTCAGTGGCGAGGAGGCCGATCTCTATATGCAGAAAGCAATCGTCATGACTCTGTCTGCTGTCGAATCTCTGAAGGGACTCTTTTTTGTTGGATACCACTTTGAGTCACTCAAGGTGAGCAGAGCTAGCAAATTAAGTTTGTCTTACTTACATTGTGTGCGTGTGTGTGTGCTGTTCTGTCTCGTACTCTCTTAATGACCTGTTCTCAAAGATTTGCTTCATCCTGTCCAGATTCTCTCCCCCTAATTAACCCAGCCGTTAGTCCGTCTCTACAGTCTTTCATTTAGCTCCATCATCTCTCATCTTCATCCCAGTTCCCTCCATCACTGGAGATGACAGTATCGCCATGCCAACCGTCTCTCATTATGCTAACTCGGAGCTGAAGGCTCTGCTCCTCACTTAGGGCAACATCACTGACGGCAACTGTCAGCCTCAATGACATATCTTTTGTAATCACGTGGAAAGCAATCAGTCCCTTCGGTAAAAATCCTTTGAAAAGAATTTGAATTGGTACTAACAGTATAAATTGGAGGTGGTCTGGCTTGCTTTTCTTATCTGTGCTTTTTATCGAGCCTCTGGGTACGCCTCACTTGCTAGCAGAGCCAAAGCATTATGTTAATGATTATCAAGCCTAAATAAATCTTCCAGTATCACAGGTACAGTCTATATACAATATATTCACTTAAACAGTGCTTGAATGACTTTAGGTTCAGGTAATTTCTGTGGAAGCTAATTTATAAGGTACTGTCGTTTTGAAATAGCCTATGATGACACCAAAACAGTGGCTGTAGCTCAGGCAGTAAAGCGTGGTTAATCATAGTATCACTTAATCCACCTCCAGCTCCTCATGTCCACATATTGAAATAGATAAATACTTTATTTATCC